GAAATTCGATTTTCCTCATAATCTTCGGAATTTCGTCTTTTTCCTAAGGCACTCTTATCACCCTTAAGTTCTTCATTGTATTTGATCTGACAAAATGTGTCAATTTATATAATCTAAACATATGAAACAAAAAAAACAATAACTTCCATTGCATACCATTGTGTCATTAACGTTCTTGATGGAGGAATTGACACTTGCAATGGAATTTTTGAAGACTTCAGTAGTATCTTGTATAACTGAGCTAGAGGCCTCAGCCTACAATTGAAAAAATTCATGAGCAGGAGTTTGTTTATAACAGAAAATTTATTAAATAAAACCTCAGCATGGCGTCTCTCGATTTGATTCCAGAGCATGTCAACGTCTATGAAATATTTGCGATGCCCCTATAATTGCTTGAAATTAGTAAACCGCTTTCATAGAGAAAAGGCATTGCCGGAGACAAACACAACGGGCACGCAGACCATAAGGTGTTAGCACGCAGAATATCACCCTTAGTTGTGCGGGTTCCCTCCCGCAAGAGAGGTCATTCAACCTCAACGTGCAGTACAAATAGGACAAGATAGTAGGTGGCCAGCGCGCAGAATGGTCACTAAATCTTGTTCAGCCTCCCTTAGGCCAGCCGGCAATGCAAAAATATGTTTGAAAAACTGAAGAGCTTTGCCTTATGAATATCGTCCAACTGTCTAGCAACATTCTTCATTTCAGCTGAACCATCCTTTATTAGGCTAGCGAGATCTTTTTTAATTTTGTGCGACTCCTTTCGAAAAGAGAAAGTAAAGTCCGGTTGTCTCTTCCTGTGTTCATAAAACCCTATAAAACTATAGTCTTTCGGAAGTGTTTCATCAAAATAGACACTCCACATTGTAGATTCTTCAATCATAGATACGGCTAAAAATGTAAAAGTTATGTAGAAATAATTCTTACGCGTCCTATATCACCGCAGTATTTCTAATGGCGTATCGGATCGGCGGATCAGCAATCCCACCCCGATAGCTACCTTCGAAAAGGTGAGTTTGTTGTATTTGATCTCACTAGGCCGGAAGATGATCCCCTTGCAATCCGCCTAAGGTTTGACACTCCACTAAACCTGCAGAAGGAAATAGAGGCTAGGCAGAAGCGCAAGGAAAAAAGCGCCTCAGCTAATGAGTAGAATTTACCTTCATAGACACTAACTTTTTTTTCATAATTATAAAAAATTGGAATGGGAGAACCGGTTATTAATATCGATCCTCAAAAAGCTCATAATTTAGACTGGCATCTTGCCTTGCAAAAACTATATTATCGTCCTGAAGGTCTGTATCAAAATGCTAAGAGATTATGGGATGCTTGTAAAAAAGCCGGCTACAGCTTTCCATTTGTTGATATAAAAAAATGGCATGATAGGCAAGCAATGACCAAATTTTTTGTCCTTCACCAAAGCATATACCTTATGCCAGTTACTCTAAAATCACAAATTTATTAGATGATGGCCCAATATTTTACTATGTGTTATTAGTTATAGACTGCACGACTAGATTTAAAGATTTTGTTTTTTTAATATCAAAAAGTAATGAAGAAGTCACGGAAGCATTTAAGAGTATATATGATAATCCTGATAAGCCTCTCAACTGGCCTTGAAAATTACAATGTGATAAGAGTACTGAGTTTATGGGATTGACTTTATTAATGAATAAACATAATGTTGAAATCTGAAGGATTATAACATGTTTTAGACATACAAGCTTGACTATGGTTGACTATTATGCTAGATTATTCACATTAAGAGTTTTTAAAAATCAGTATTTAGTAGAGTTTCTTCTACCTACTGGCAAGCATTGTAGAGAATATGAGCGGTTTGCAAGAAAAAATTTTGATAATATGAATGATAGCTTAACTCGATTGATTGGAATGAGTCATAAAACTTGAGCAGATATATTTCAAACTATCAGTAAAATATAATCGCCCAATAGGTGTTGATGAATCACAACTACCAAAGGGTACTACTATCTGATTTTTACTCACTCCTAGAGAGTAAGAAAATGATCCTTTCGAATAATGCAGAATAACAGATCCGATATGATCTTCTAGCCTGCATAAGATTCAGAGAATTGTTGTTAAAAAGAATTCTCCAATGCCTATTTTATATTATTTAAATAAATCAGGGTCTCAATAACCCTTTATAAGAGAACAGTTAATGTATATTAAGGAAGAACTTATGTTGCCTCCTAGGTAAGTATTGGGAGATAACCAAATATGTACAAGACGCTTCTTATAAAAGTTTCTAAGTCTACTATGCAGTAAAATATAGTTATAAGAATTACTCCTTCCTTGTAACATAATGTCCTCTTTTCCCAATTACGTCAGATTTATGCGTCTAGATTCATCTACCCTTGCAGGTAAAAAAAGAGACAATTTGATAATATTGGCTACCACTATATTCAAAGGTCAAGCCTAATTCTTCATTATAATCATCTAGATATAATCCTTCCAAGAATTTAAGCTTTCAGAGTGGAAATTTTTTATGTAATAAATCCTCAAATATATACTAGCATATTCTTTCCAGTACATTAGGATAAATGTTGTACTATTTATAATTCTGTTTCATATTTTTATATCGCCTCCTATTGATAACCTTTTTTACATGACTATAAATATGTATTAGAATTAACTTTGCCTAAATATCTTCCTTCACGTCTCTGGGTATATGCTAAAGCTTTAGTGTTAATTTCATCTTATATTTTATAAATACAATAAAATATTATATATAGAAATTTGCGGTAGTAATCACAAGCTTTAGACTAGTTTGATCAGAAGAATCAATCTGGATATATGCAAATTCAGAAAAGTAAAATTAAACTTGATTACTACTATTGCATAAGTAAAAATAAATATTATCAGTATTCTTAGCAAGAAGTGGCAATTTTAGCTAAGGGTACTTAACAATACAGCTCAATAATCTTATCTATATATTTGCTCTTTTTATGTATTATTGATATCATCAAGTAGATCGATATCTTTTAACAATTTTTCATCTATTTATAAAGATTTTGTTATTATACATAAAATTTATTTTGTAAAACAGAAGACTTAATACGATAGAAAAGAATTCTTATAAGATTATTTATATAGGATTTGATTACTGCATGAATATTTAAAATTTCTTTTTCTATTGTAATCCAATCATAATACAGAGTATAAAGAACTGTATGAATATGGGTTATTTCTTATTTACTCCAATCTAACCAATATTTTATAAAATCAAAATCTTCACAAAATTCCTTTTCTTTTTATTTTAAAATAACTCGAAATGCTTCAAAATTCTATTGATGATTCATAGTAAGACAGGAATATAGTATATCTTTAGTAGTTTAGAACAAACAAGTGGACGAGGCCCAAAATTTTTTTGCATAAGAAGCATAGTATACAGAGGGGTATAAAAAGTATTGGCCACTCTGATTAATGTGATGCAAATGTAACGCATGTCATTATACCTCTGCTGAATTAAGTCATAATTTTCATTTTTAATTACACGTGACTGTGTCTAACTAAAAATATAAACAAACCGTCATTATGATATATAAATGAGGTCATTTGGGCACACAAAAATTTTTTACATTATATAGTGAGAAAAAATTTGTCGCA